TCAGACTCCGTGCTATCGGGCTGTCAGGGCAGCTCCTTACCTCTTAAGTCACGAGTGCTCCCTTGTGGCATATGTTATTTTTTTAATAATATATAATATTACATATTAATATTATAATTTGTTTGTTATTGATGTTACGTGCCATATTGTCACCTGCAACCCATCATATTTATATTGTGATAATGATGATCTATGTTGTTGTATATCATCATCTTGGAACCAACTCATAACCTATCCTCCAGTGGGTTTTCAGAAGCAGTAATTGCAGTGGAGGAGATTGTCCATCCTTCTCCCACAGGGCAGTTAGGAGAATCGAACCTCATGCTTTTGGAATTGCAGCACAGATTCTTAGCAGTAGGCCACCATAGCTTCCCCTTATTAGGTATAGCCAAGTCAATTTTTGACTCATAGCAGCCCACTGTAACAGATGAGAAATGTCCCTTAGGACTTTCTAGGAGTGAATGTGGGAGCAGATCATCAGGTCTTTCTACTCATTAGCTAATGGACTTGAACCACCGAAGACTGGACCTTTATGCAGATTGCCCTATCAGAACTCCCATCATGCTGTTATAGTATGGTCTTTAAAATATTTTTATGTGTATGTATGTGTGTGTGTGTAAAATACATATATGTAATATACATACATACACATATACTTCTGTTAATGGTTGACAGTACATGCCCAGGAAAATGTTTTGCAATGGAAAGTTCTTTGAACAGTAGATTTTCTGCACTAATAGAAATGTGAAACGTCATCTCACATTCTTTCAATGTGTTGTTAAGTGGGACCAGTTCTTAGGAAAAAGACGTCATACTTGAAAAGGTGAATGGTCAGCTAAAGAGGAAGACCCTCAACAAGATGGTTCAGTGATGCTAACAATAGGCTCTGGGATATTAGAGATGAGGAGGATAGCCAAAGATATAGGGCGTTGTTCAGCTCTATTATTCATAGGGTCACTATGAATCATTTGACTCAATAGCACCTAATATCCACAACATTGGATAATGCAGAATAAAAGGGCTTCTCACTTCTTCATTCTGCTTTTCAGGAAAGGGATAAGTATAATCCAGGTTCCTATTTCATTTTTTTCTTACTTGCATTAAAATAAACGTGATTTTTACTTATTATACTGTAGAATGTTTAATATTCCAGGCCTTCCTCATCACACCTACCTTTAATTTTTTAGTTTACCATTGTGCCCTTCTGATTTTTATACCCTTATAGATACCATTACAGTGAGTGTCCCTGTTACATGATCTGGTCATTTTTTTCCTTAGTGAAATATTTTACATATTTTTATTCACTGTATACGTGCAACTTAACAACAACATACACATGCATGCCCTTTCTCTACAGTTAGAAAAACCAAGTGATTGATTTTTATTTCCTTAACAGAGATTATGAGACAGGAGATTTATTCATTTCTTCCCAGCAGCAGCTGCTGTGCTCAGTGTTAATCTAATAATCCTAGTAGTGTTTGCTGTAGCAAAGCAGAGGTATCTCTGTATCAGTTCCATACAGTTAAGTGTCCTTATTGCCTTTTTAACTTTTCTTTTGGGGCTGATGTTATTTTTTCATTCTTTCAGAGTCTTCTTAAGATTTTTGTTGAATTTAAGTATTTAAATTTTCATTATCCTGATTCTTTTCAGACTGAAAAAGACTGAACTTTTTTTCCAAGAATCCTACTCCCTTTTTCGTGGACTATAATCTATGATTCTAGGATTCTTATTTCTTTTTATGGTTAGCCAAAATTTGTTGTGACCCACACAGTCAAATAAATGCCTTTGCTTAATCAGTGAAACACAGATAGAAATTCCTCTATCATCATAATTTTATACAATAGAATACCATAAGGAGCCCTGGTGGCGAATTGTGAAATACCGTAAGAATGCTTAAGTGAAATCAGATGGATATTCATGTGTTGGCAAGTGGTGATCAATAGAAAGAACAACTTCTAGTAAAATATGAATATTTAAATAAAATATATTTTAAACTTGAAATGTAAATTCATATTCTTGTAGTAAGTGTATTTGAAGATAAAAGGATTCCTAATAGTAGTTGTCTGTAGGGTAACATTGGGAGACTGAGAGGATGAAAGGAGAGGGTTATTTTTTCTTCTTCATTTTACATTCTGCGTTGACTTTTTTCTTTTAAAGCAAGAACATTTAAATTTTTCTAAACAAAGAAATACATTAAGGATTTAAACTTTATATCAAAGCATAAAGATTATGTTACATGATCCTTGATGCTCTTTAAAATAAAATACACAACAGGAAGTCTTTGATTTTGTGGTTAGATAACAATTACATATTTGAGTATGGCATTGTGTAGGTTCCCTTCCACCCACCAATGTTAAAGTTATGTCATCTGTTCTCTCCATAATCTCTCTTTTCGAGATTCTCTACCTTTTTTTGTGCTAGTATATTCCTGCCTTAAGTTTTAGCCAGTGAGCCTTATTATAGTGCAAATGTAATAAATGTTTTATCTAGATCTTAATATAATTCATCTAGGCAGAGGTGAAGATTTCATGACTGTACTTCTCGAACTAGCAAAATGTCATTCATTAGTTGTAAGAAAGGCCACTTCCAGAACTAGAATCACCTTGAGTCCCATCTCACAATTGCTTTCTAAAATATCATTAAGAACCTCTCTGCAAATCCCTAGCTTTCTAATTCTCCAGCTTTGGTAGCCAAAGACAAGAGGTTCTCATCCACTAGCTACTCTGAAAGAAAGATAGGATTTATAGCTTCTGGAAACCTGTAGAATCAGCTGTGAGACACTTCCAGCTTGATGGCATGTAATAACAATAGTAGCAAAACCATACTAAAACAGTTTCTTTAGGTCTAAATTTAAAAAATTTAAAAAAATTAAAGCTCTAGCTTTAAATTTTTTTAAGCAGAGTTGATCCATATCTCACATCCTTCATCACTATTTTAACAACTGAATTTCTCCAGTTTGCTTTACATAGTACTTTACTATTATAATTTTCGTGGGAGACCATCCATATTTCATATAGTAACTAGAAAGTGATTTTTCTCTTACTAAAGGCACTGGGAAAAAAATCTGACTTAATAAATTATGACTGTAAATAGACAAATGATTGGCTTCTGCATTTTTATTGAGATCCCAGTACGTGACTTACTGAGCAAGGGCTAAGTTTGGTTGCCTGCCTCTCTACTTTGATTACATATAAATAATCTTTCTTGAGTCACTCTGAGGATGAAATTATTATTCATTCATTTGCAATATATTTTGGACTACTTGGGTTTTCCTCTGTTTTTTAACATTTCTTCTAAAGTAATTCTTCCCCTAAACCTAATTCTGGGGCTAGTATGTTGTGAATCGGTTTTATGCTGGAAGTTATGGTGGCTCCTCACATCTTGCAGAGGATATGGAATGCTCGGGGCTCTTATGGCTTCTTTTCATCCCAAGTGGGTGTCAGCAGATGGTACTTGCCAGTTGAACTGGGGGTCTCTGGCTAACAGTTCACCAACATGTGGGCGTGCTGGAATTTTTTAAATGCTGTAAGGCCCTAGGGCCTGGTTTTAATTATTTTTGGTTCCACATTTTTCTAGGTGGTATAGCACTGGCCTATTTGCCATACAGAGGTTGCTGTGATGCTTAACACTGTGACCTTGATGTGCCATATGTAATCCTGGTCACCCATGGTGGACAGTATTTGGTGGAGCTCCTTGAATAAAACAAGCTTGGAAGCAGGAGTGGCATCCACTTCCGAAATAGCTTGCCTCTGGAAACCCTATGAACTTGGAGAAATGAAGAAAGTTATACAAGTGTTCATGTCTTTTGTTCATAGGGTTGCTATAAGTCATCTATGACTTGATGGCACTTAACAACAACAGCAACAACAAACTGAATTCTTAATGTATACTTTCAGATCTTTCTATTTAAGAGTCTTTCTGAGAACGATCATTTAACCAGGGCGCAGAATGGAAAGCAACTGTTTATTTAATCTAGTGTTTAAGGTCAATTTATTGTTAAATTTCATTGTTTTATTAAGCTTTAGTTCCAGTAGCAACTGAGATACATATTGCAGCTAGCAGTTTGGGTCAGAAAGGTTAGTCAAGAAATCTTTTAAGTGTAAAGAAATTTTGCTTTTAACTATAAATTTGTAACACTTTTATACCCTTTATTGGCAGAAACCTATATTCTGTTTCCAGGAATTTTGTATTTTGACTGATAAGTATTGTTTCCTTTGTTCCTAAAGAAGTTTGACATTCATGTCTTCACACAGCCTTGGGAAACATGTCTTCTAATTCAGTTTGTTCAACAGTTTTCTGTTGAAACCATGAAATCAGTTAAGCAAATAAACAAAACCAATAAAATACTGAATTCTGTAGGAATTCCTTTGAGAGATTAGAGTTACTAATAAATTATTTCTCTTCTGATGGAAAGTCTCTGGAAACTGTTTGTCTTTTTAAAGTGTAATTGGTCAGATGTGAAAAATAATGTATTAAAACTTTGTAAATAAACCAGTATTTTTTTTTAAAAAAAGTATAATTTGTAGAATCTGATATGATAGCCTGTGTTTTTGTTGTTCGTATAGCCATTTGGAGGCAGGAGTGGCATCCATCCACTTCGTAAGCAACGTGCTTCTGGAAACTATGACTTTGATAAATGACACTAGTTATAGAAAGTCTTTAGGCCTTTTGTTCATAAGGTTGCTGTGAGTCATGTCAACAACAACATAGCCATTTGTAGGTTGTTTAATTTAGACCTAGTGAATTACTTTGCTGAGGATGTTGGGGTTGAGAGAGACTTCAGAATTGAAGATAAAATCAAAGAGATACCATAAACACTTGTGTAGAGTCTTCAGATACTAAATGAAAATTACCTACCTAATTGCTCAAAGATTATTGAACAAATTATGTTGGTAAATAATTCTGTTTCTTGCCTTTCAGGGTTCATGTCATAATAAGAAACAATGTTTAAAAAGTCAGGCTCTTGGAATTGAAAGACATTAATGCTTTTTATGTTGTAGGAACTACCTTCTGTTGAAGAACTCACTATTATTCTGCCTGAAGATATTGAATTAAAGCCTCTTGGGGTGGTTTCAAGTATTATTGAGCAATTAGGTAGGTAAATAATTTTGTTATCCAAATATGTCTAAATAATGAAATAAAGATTTTATGAGTAGTGACTTTCTTTAATATGTAATATTTCGTTTTGTAGTCATGAAATTTAAAAGGAAAAAATCTGGTTTTATTACCTAGAGGATATAAGACTACATTATCTTTATAAAACAATTAAAATATACTTTCCCAGAATTTTCATGAATTTGATGTTTTAGTGTTCTTTTGCTGCCTTTAACAAATTACTACAAACATAATGACTTAAACTGACACAAAAAGTTTGTTATCTGAAGTCTGACATGAATCACGCTGGGCTGTTTTTCTTTGTGGAAGTTTGGTAAGAGAATCTTTATTTCCTTGTCTCTTCCACCTTCTAAAGCCTGCTTGTGTTGTTTTGTGGCCCTCTTCCTCTCTCTAGTAATAGAACATCTCAGTGATGATTCCATGCTCACATCTCTTTCAGAAAGATTACTTGCCTTTAAGGATTCTTGTTACTAGCATTAGCACATCTAGATGATCTAGAATCTCACATCCAGAACCGTAACCAGAAATTCTAAATTGGTAAAGTTCTGTGTTTTAAAACTAAGGTGAAGAAATAAACTATTACATTATACTGAAACCAAGACACGGTCATTTGAACAGAAAAGGAGATTCTGGCGCATTCAAACCAAAGGTAGCACCACTGGCGTTTTGAATCTACCAGGAGGCTCTAAAGGAGAAAGACAGGCAATCTCCTCTGTGCAAATTACCACCTCATTGGAGGGCCAATTTTGGATTGTTTCAACTCATTGACAATGAGATATTTTTGTTTAAAGGACTTAAATGACACACAGAATTCAAATCGTGCTTATGCTAAATGAGTCAGTGATAGAAAGGAAGTTTTAGGTTTTATTTCAAGTTCTAATAATTTGGAAGCAGGAGTGACATCTACTTCCAAAGTAACATGCCTCTGGAAACTCTATGAACTTTGATAAAGATTAATAGTTGTAGGGGCTTCAGGCCTTTTGTTCACAGGGTCGCAATGAGTCATGCTCAACTCAAAGGCAACCAACAGCAACAACTAAAAACTAATACTGTATAATTTGGCATTTTTTAAAAAAGTAATCAAAAATTTCATTAATGTGAAACTTTCTATTATGAAGTACATTCCTAAATAATTACATTTATTCTTTTTTACTTACGGAATTTAATAATGTGTATAGATGAGCACAGAACTCATAATTTTTAGTCTCTTAGTCTTGTCACATAAGAAAAATTTATGTCATAATTTATTATTCTCTAGGAAAAATAAACAGAGGAACACTCTAAAATTAAGTGTTTTTACAATGTAAGATAACTAAGTTTATTTTCACTAGCTGCTTGGTGCATAGAATCATAAAAATAAAATGTAATACAGGAGGAAGGACATTGGAACTAGGACTCTAGATTGTGCACTCGTCTTTCATGAAAATGAAAGTGTTGGATTAAATGAGATTTAATTTTGTGTAATTTGATTCTGGGAAGGAAAGGTAGGAAAATAAGATGATCAAGAATGAGTTGTTAAGTGGTCATTGTCATGATAGGTCTTAGAAGTGAGTGACTGTCATGAGACAGATGTGTTTAAGAAGTTAGAAGTTCTTTTTCAGGGCACTAGCTCTAGAAGAAGGCTCTCTTCTGCACTGTCCACTCTGTAGAAAAAAATGCTTGTTTTAGCTTCTCTCCTTTCTTTGATTCCTGGACTTGTAGATTCGAGTGCTTTTTCTATCTTCAGATCGTGGCGATGAAGTTCTTTTCTGTTTATCTGTGCATAGTCTTTTTTTGGGCAGTGTTAGGATTATGTACAAGTTCCATTCTTAAATTGAAATGTATATAAGTTTTGGAGTAGTTAGGTATTGTTGTTATGTAATATCTAGCAAAAATTTGTCTTGCTATATAGTGTTTCTCTGAATGCATTTAAACACTTGCAAATACTGTTGAACACCTGTAGCATATATGTTGATGTATCATCAGGTCAGAACCTACCCAAAGCTGTCCTGTCAGCTGGTTTTCAATCACTGAAAATCACACAGGAGGAAATAGCCCATCCGTCTCCTACAGAGCAATTGGTGGGCTATGCTTTCAGAATGTCAGCACATCACCTTACCAGTAGGTCACCAGAACTCCCTGTAAGCATAAGATATTAGCATATTACAGTAAAAATAATAATTTGATATATGTTACAAAGTAATGCTTGTATATTATTATGAGTCACTGTATCTTGAATATTTAATTTGCTATGCTTCACAGGACTTGATTGAATTAGGTGTATATGGATTGTATAACAGACTTTAAACCAATGACTTCATGTGTCTCAGTGGTAATTACTTTAAGACATCCCCAACCTTGATTGACGTAGCTAAGAACCCTATTCTCAACAGGGAGTACATTCTCTGATGTTACTTCTTGTGTGTGTGCAGAGTCAGAAATCGGTTCTGACTCATATTGATGCTATAGGACAGAGTAGAATTACCCCATGTGGTTTTCTACATGTAATCTTTACAGAAACAGATTAATACCTCTTATTCTTTGGAGCAGCTGGCTAGAAACACACCATCACCCTTTCAGTTAACAGCCAGGCACTTAACCACTGTGTTAACAAATCTTCCATTGTTCTTTTTTTGTACCCTTGATTTGGAGATGACTTAAAACTGACCATCTGGCAAGTTTTCAAAATCTTTAAATTGCTCAGCAGGAGACTATCTTTTTCTTCCCCAGAACAGCTGGTGGGTTTGAACAGCATCTCTTTAGGTTGGCAGAACAATCCTTATAACTGAGCCAGCTGAGCTCCCTAAATCAGATAAAAAACCAAAAGTCAAACATACTGCTGTCAGGTTCTATACAACCCATAGGAATTCTCCTTTGAGAATCTGAGACTGTAAATGTTTAGAGGAGACTCCTTATCTTTTTCTGTGAAAAACTACTGGTGGCTTTGAACCTGGAGTTTTAATTAGCAGTGCTATATTCCTGGTGCTGCCTATCCATACACATTTAATATAGCGGAGTATTCTTGCTTTTTGCTCCAATGTTCTAAGAGTTTATTATGTTTGGCGTTTCCCCCCCCTCTGGTAGATTGGATGTTTAACGTTTATAGCACTTGTAACTGCTAGACCTCTGAGATAATGGTTTAGCTTTTTTGAAAAGGGAAGTTTATTATAATAAAAGTTGATGTGAATGCTATCATTTTTACATCTATTCAGAGGAATATGCTTTAGAATAGCCCTCGCTTTCACCTTTTTTTTCTGTGTCAATAAACAAGCAATGCTTATGTACCTAGAATTAAAAAAACTATTTAAAAATTGGGGCTTTGACTAAATAGAATTACATTTTTTAATAATAATTATATATACAGTTTGAATTTATTGATTCTTTAGAGTAATTCTCTTTTTGTTAGATTTTATACTGCTTTTCCCCCAATTACTAAAAATTAACTGTTTTGTGTTCAGCAAAAATATGCGGACACTATCTCCTTGTGCTACTTGTTAAATCTTTTTACTGAAGTGGAATAGTGAACTGCGATATATAATCCTACATTTAATGTGATTCCATCTTCAAGTTTAAAAATGATGTTGGAGTTTAAAGCCTTAATTGTTATCTAACTGAAATCTTAACATAATTTATTTTGCTTTATTTTTCAGTAATAATTGAATCTTTGACATGTGTACCACCAGTTAATGAGGACACAGTAATTTTTAGAAGCGATCGACAAGCAGCAGGAAAGGTATATTTAAAAAACCCAACAAAATAAGAAACTTCAAGTCATTACAGTAATTATATTGTGTACATTATGTGGTTGGATATTTCTTTTTCCACTAACTTTTTATTGTAATATTTCAAGGGGAAAAAAAGGAATAGTCAGCATGTCAGCCAGACAAAAATTAAAAATAGATCAAGTTTAGAAATTAATATGTTTCTTTATTGTTTAGTTTTCATACATTTCCATATATATCTTGAAAAAAGTTTGCTAGTTTTAGTTGATGAATCTCTAGAGCTCTCAGTGTTGGTACATTCTTGATTTTCTTCACTATCTTGTGTCCGTATGTGAGTTGATACAGGATTCAGTTTATAATACTTCCCGGTACTCTTTGCCATGTAAGTCATTAAAATATAGAATATTTTCTAGCATTTGTCAGATTCTTTACTAGGCAGTGAGCTTACTTGCTGAATATAGCATAATCCCTGGTCTTCTAAACACAAGAGTTGAGTGTAGAAGACAAGTAACATCTATAACTTTCAATTTTGTAGCAGTTCTAAAACTTTTTTGGTTTGCAAATTCTTTACATTTTACTAATGGAACAACCTTATGCCCATGAAAGACTACATACATTACTGTTCAAATAGACAATATAGAGAAGTTAGCAGAGCACACAGCTTCCTATTAAGAACAAAGTACAAACCCAGTATTGCTAGTTGTTGTTGTTATGTGCTGTTGAGTCACCTGTGACTCATTGCGATCCTATGTTCAATATCCCTAAACCCTGCTCTATCCTGTGCCAGTCTGTTTCTAACACGTGTACCTCAACTACCTTAGTCATGGAATCAATCCACCTCATATAGGGTCTTCCTCTCCTGTGCTGTTCCTCCACCCTCCCAAGCATGACGTCCCTCTCCAAGGACTGGTTTCTCTTTCAACATGTCCAGAGTATGTCAGATGAAGCTTCAGAATCATTGCCTCCAAGGAGCAGCCTGGTTTATCCCTCTCTCTAGGACGAACTTGTTCATTTTCTTAGCAGTCCATGGTATATTCAATACCCTTCTGCAACACCACAGCTCAAAGGCATCAATTCTACTTCTATCCTCCCTAGTCATTGTTCAGCTCTCTGATGCATAGCAGGTGATTTAAATATCATGGCCTGTATCAGGCGCAACTCACTCTCCAGAGTAACATCATTACTCTTCAGTACTTTGGCAAGGTCTCTAACAGCAGACTTTCCTATCGCAATACATCTTTTGATTTCTTGGCTTCTGGTGCCAGGAGTATTGATAGTGGAGCCAAGCAAAGTAAAACTGTTAACAGTCTCATTCTCTTCACCATCCATCTTGATGCTGCCAATTGGCCCAGTGGTGAGAATCTTTGTCTTAATATTGAGCCTCAATCCATATTGAAGGCTGCAGTCCTTGACCCTTTGCAGCAAGTGCTTCAGGTCCTCCTCAGTTTCAGCAAGCAGGGTTGTGTCATCTGCATAACGCAGATTGTTGATAAATCTTCCACCAATCTTGACCCCACATTTCTGCTCATAGAGCTCAGCCTCCCGGATAATCTGTTCTGCATATAGGTTGAAAAGGTATGGAGACAGGACACATCCCTGGCATACGCCCTTCCCAGTTTTGAACCATGCAGTGTTTTCTTTGATCTGACGACTGCCTCTTGGTCAAAGTATAGATTTCTCATTAGCACAATCGAGTGTTCTGGGATTCCCATTCTCAGAGTCAGCCACAATTTGTTATGAATGATAGTAAAGGAAAATGTCCAAGATGCACTGAAGGCACTGGTGAAAAACAAAGTTCCATGAATTGATAATAAGTTAAAAAATTGAGATGTTGACAACATTAGGATACAGTGGCTAATAAGTTAAAAAATTGAGATGTTGACAACATTAGGATACAGTGGCTAGATGTAGTCACTGATTTTTACTAAGAAAAAGAAAAAACTGAAAAAAGGAGACAGCTACCTAGTGAAGCAGTTGTGGGGAAAATGATATCTATATTATGTGAAAGCTGGTTTGACAATGTGGATATTATAGAACAGTATCATTTGTGCCACACACTGGTAAAATCTTACTGAATATAATTAAGAAATGCCTCTCTCACCCTAACAGGTAAATAGAGATACTTAGCTAAATTCTAAAGGATGAAGAATGAAGTATTCCTTATAACACAGATCTTGTCTTAAAATAGAGAATACAAGAAGAATGTTTATGTCTATTTTATTGACTATGCAATGTAGTAATTAAATGTACTGTGGCCTGCAAAAGAGGGAAAAAAACATATTCTGGAAGGAATATAGTGTGGAGACATTAACTTATGATTTATAACATTAAAAATGATGCTGTAATATGCCTCTTTCATCTCTGCAATTCTGATAGGAAGAGATCGAAAATAATATTTTAGAGCTCATTGACATTTTAGCTATTTAAATGTCACTTGCTGTTTTTAGGGTAATTATAACCTTCTGAATGGTAGTGTCCTCGTGAATCGCTGTTTTATGGTTTATTTTAAACAACTGAATGTCATTTAAACTAGCCATGTTGTTATTATGTGCCATTGAGTTGTCTGTGATTCATAGCGACCTCAATTACAAGAGTCCTAAACCCTACTCTATCCTGTGTCAGCCTCACTGTCTCTGACACACCTACTCCCATTACCCCAATCACTGATCAAGGGTCTTCCTTTCTTGTGCTGTCCCTCCACCCTCCCAAGCATGATGTCCCTCTTCAGGGACTGGTCCATCCTTGCAACATGCCCAAAGAATTTCAGACGTAGATTCAGGATCCTTGCCTTTAGGGAGCAGCCCGGTTTCACCCTCTCCAGGACAAACCTGTTTGTTTTCCTAGCTGTCCATGATATATTAAACACTCTTCTCCAGCACCACAACTCAAAGGCAGCAATTCTCCTTCTGTCATCCCTAGTCACTGCCCAGCTCTCTGGTGCTTAGCACGCAATTGGGAAGACTATGGCCCGGATCAGGTGTAAATGTTTCCAGCCTGATGTCATCGTCGTTCTTGAGTACTCTGGAGAGGTCCCTGACAGCTGACTTTCCCAATACAAATCGTCTCCTGATTTCCTATCTCCTGGTACCAAGAGTGCTGATTGTGGAACCAAGCAAACTAAAACTATTAACAATCTCGATCTCTTCACCATCCATAATGATGATGAGAATCTTTGTTTTCTTGATATTGAGCCTCATCCCTGGTGGACACCCCGATTTTGAACCATGCAGTATCTTCTTGCTCTGTTCTGACAACTACCTCCTGGTTCAAGTTTAGGTTTTGCATAAACACAAATGTTCTGGTATTCCCATTCTTAGAGCCTACCAGTTTGTTGCAATTCACAAGCCTTTGCATAAAGATCAAAATGGAGAATATGTATATGGTGTCAGAAACTCTAAAATTGGGTTTTGTAGCCATTGTGTTAACCCCTTTTGGAGGGGCATGGTCTCTAGCTGTCTTAACCACAGACACATGATCTTGAAAATTATCAAGATCTGTGGGACCAGTATAAGAGCGTGAGCTTTCCACACTGTGAAAAAGGATCCTAATGGTGATGGAGAAACTCTGAAGAGACTGTGAAGAGGCTGTTACAAGGTATAATCAGAGGAACCCTGTGATAAAGGCCACAGTTAAAGGTTTTGCTTGCTGAATGATTGAAGGAAAAACTGACTTGTAACTGCTCTGAGGCAAACTTTGCTTGAGATTGAGGAAACCAGAGGCTTCTTCCATTTGTGCTCCTGAACTCAACCTATATTCACTAATTTGGAGACTCTGGCTTGAGATTGTTAGACTAAACCTGGACTTGCATTGTTCAATAATAATCTTTGCCTCCCCAACTCTCCAGTTTATTTCCATAATAAACCCCACAGCTCTGAGTAAAGTCTGAGTTGGCAATAAATATTGGAACTAATGATTGGTAGAAAGAGGTGCAGGAGCATGGGGAGGGGTGGCATGTCTGACTGAGCAGCTCTCTGTTTGCTGCTAGGGATATTATTGATGGAGATAGTTGCCATTTATGAAGCAGGCAGAAGTCAGACCTGGCTTTGCCCATGTTAGTACTACTCCTTTTGCAACCTGCTATCAAAAATTAATTGATTTCTATAAAAAAATAGATCCTTTCATAAAAGTTGCTTCTATTTGCATTGGTCCAATTTGTCTAAATTATTTAAAGGTTACTAAGTAATCTTTTATACTATGTATTTTTTTAATTACTTACCTTTTGTATTTTGTCATATTTCTACTCAATGACTCTAGTAATTTCGTTTCTTAGAAATCAGTATTTACAAAATCTGGAGTCAAATGAAGTCTTACATAGATTTTTATTCAGGCATTTACTATAGTGAAGATACTGGAAATAGATAAAATATCCCATAGTTTAAAATTTTCTTTCTATGTACATAGAAACACACACCTAAAGCTTTTAAAATTACTCTTATTAGTTAATCAGAAGGTCCATAGTTCCATTTCATTCAGGAGCTTTGGCAAGAAAAGACATTATGATCTTTTTCAGTTAAGATTGTTGTCAAGTTGTTGTGGCCCATAGTGACTCTGTGTATATATCAGCTTTGAAGCCTGCCCTATCCTGATCCAGTCTCAGTGATTCCAACACACCTCTCCCCATTTCCCTACTGTATCAGTCCATCTCATCTGAGGTCTTCCTCTCCTTACATTGTCCCTCCACCTTTCCAAGCATGATGTCCTTCCCCAAGGATTGGTCCCTCCTGGCCACGTGTCCGAAGTTTGTGAGGCAGAGCTTCAAAATCCTAGCTTCCAAGGAGAAACTTAACTTTGCTATCTCCAAGACACACCTGTTTGTTTTCTTGGTTGTCCATAGAATGTTCAAGATGCTTCTTCAGTACCACAACTCAAAGCCATCAATTCTTTTGTCATCCTTGGTCGTTATTCAGCTCTCTGATGCATAGCAAATAATTATGAAGTAATTGTAGTGATTGTGAAGTAATATTAATGATACTGTTCTATAATTCCCACACT